CAAACTACTCCTATTTGGAAGGTACCACAACCATGGTTCACTGTGCCAAAGCTCATCAAATTTTGTTCGGCGATTCTCTGCAGAGTGCGTATGTAAATGAATCGATGATTTACTTCATTATACGACTATACCACCAAACATATTTAGTCGCCATATTAGAGATTACTGTGTGCCGTTTAATTATGCGAAGGCATTCATGTGAGCATATCTTGCAACACGTGTTCATAGAGAAATTCCTGACATTGTTCATAATAGGAGGCTAGGTTTAGTTAGGGACATAGTTATTATAGTTTATATGAGTTGTTAGGCACTATAGCAAGCACCTCTAGGTTTTGTATAAGTATACTAATTGTACATGTCTAATAATAAATAGAACAATCACTTGATACTTGACTTACGTATCTAATACCTATTTTAAGGGGGGAAAACTATAAAATGACTTCTCCCGCCTTGGGTTGGCGAGAGGGAGTGTCAGATTCTTACTGACTAAAAACCACCCCGTTCCTACTCCTGCTCTTCGAACCAGAGCCCCGGCAACCAGTTAGGCTTTCCGCGGCTCCGTATCGGGCATCAGCCCTACTGTGCCCCATCTATGGTGGTCTGACGTATCTAATAAGTATAATACGAATAAAAATAAGTTTTTATTTAATTATTGGGATTTTCCCATTTCTCGTAGACAGATAACATCCAGGACTAACCTAAATATATCGAGCGACGATTTATTATAGGTATAAACGCACATTGTAACACACTAAACCGAATCAAATAGAGCAAAGGTCACTTTGTTATAAATGGTTTGTGTCAATACGTTAGGTATACGGCAGAAAAAGTAAATTGGCCGGGAGCAAACGATACTATTCCCATCTATCACCGACTTTTACGAAAAGGAATCGCAAACGTAACGATAACATCAGCTTTCCTTATTGCCTACATTTTGATAAATAGTTGGCATTATTTACAGCTGAACGTGGGACACTGGGTCACTGCAGTTGACCTCATTTTTGAGTCAGTGAATATTTTTTTATATATATTATTTACTGGTTCACCCGAAACCGATTTCCGATCTCTCATACTATGAATAACTTTGATTCGTATGTCTTGTAGGTACTATGTATACATATGTACTTCCAACTGCCGCGTTAGTTGACTGGTAGTATTTAGAACTGCCAAATGACCGAAGCCGGGGGCTGCGGACTACCTTATGAGTTACCGGAGCCCCTTTGCGAAACTGGAATTGGAATTAGGTGGTTTTTTCGTCAATAAGAGTTTGACGCTCTCTTTCGCCCTGTGCAAGTCATTTGATATAAGAGGAGAGTCCCAATGCAGATAAAGTAAGTCAGTATCATTCGAGAAAGAGACAAAGAAAGATTTTAAAAGAAATTAACTGGCAATTTACGTACGTATACTACGTATCAAGCATCGAAATAAAGCGTTAGATATAAAATACGCGCCTCTTTCTACAGTTTCTTTGACATTACCTATTATTATGTCCCTCATATTACAATACAAAGTAGCTCACTCCGCCGCCCTGCCTCTGTGAACTACCGACCGGATTTTCATTCGGTTTTCACCAAAGGACAGGCTGATTTATGAGAAAGGTTTGCGTATTATTTATTAAGGGTACTATGTATGTGATTTGCCAGAACTGAGACCAAGCGAAAACAGTCGGGTCGCCTGTAGATTATTTATGTATTTTGGTAGACAGATAACATTTTTTGTTCAAAGTTTAATTATATTACTTTTTTGAATTTATAAAGCTTTAGACACTATAACAGTTTTCTTAAACCTACCATTTTGTAGAACAACGACTCTTAATTGTCCTACAGCTGATGAAAATACCAATCACAATGCAAATTGTATACAGAAAAAGGCCGAGTCCGAAGTACGTGCTTGCGTGGTCGGGTGCACGAATGATAAAACCTAGAAAATATATTTTAAATATCGCCCTTGGATCTGTGGTTTCAATCTACACCAATAGTATATATCTAGTCGCGGAGAACCTAACGGGTAACCGGGGTTCCGGCTCGACGTGCAGGAGAAGGATCGGGGTAGTTTTTAGTCAGTAAGAGTCTGACACTCCCTTCCGCCTCACCCAGGCGGGAGCAGTCATTTGATGATTTCCCCCCTTAAAAAAAGTAGTATATATCTATACTAATATTACCTCTATAAAGCTGAAGTGTTTGCTTGTTTGTTTGAACGCGCTAATCTCTGGTCTTCTCAAACTTATGGTCCGATTTGAAAAATTATTTCTGTGTTAGATAGCCCATTTATCGAGGAAGGCTATAGGCTATAAAATATCACGCTACGATTAATAGGCGCCGAGCAGAGCGAGTGAAACCGCGCGGAAGTAGCTAGTATATTATATAGAATTAATACGTGAATCATGTATGTACAATAACAACTATGTAAGTAGTATATTATCCACTTCGGAAAAGTATTAGGTACGTGTGTTATCAAACCTTTTCCGATCCGATTATGCAATACTCGGAAAGCATTACCGTAATTATATGCATTAAGACATGGAAAACCTTTCTGATCGGATTGCAAAGCAATTCCAACCTAAGTAGGTCATAATAATAAAATATTCAGCTTCACGATCACACTTTTAAAACAATGAGGTTTTTATTTTATAGCTACAGTTATAGGTACAAAGTTTAGGTGTTTTAATCCCAAAATTGACTATGCTGTCAACTAAAAACTAACCTTAAGTCGTTGAGTAAAAGAAATATTTTCGAAAGCGCATTAAACTGTCAAACACCAAGCGGTCACCGGTGACCGCGACCTATTGTTCTTTAATTGTGTCTATAAAACCGGTACTCGACGAGTTAAACTTTAATGCTACATATTAGTATCATCTTTCCTCGATTATTCGCAGTCTCATTTCATCTATAAGAACTTTTTTAACTAAATCTATCTGAATTACACATATTTCTCATCATGAAACAAAATATTATGTGCATCTGGTCTGATGATCGAATTGAAAGGTTAATGAAACGTCGAACTGCCTACTAGTTACGTACTTTCATTACTAGTTAGATATATCATTTTGTACTGGACATACGGCATACGCCTCAGTCCGTGATCTGCAAACGCCAACGCGCGAATAGTCGCGTCGCCGATCCTCGTGGCCAGGCCGATAGTTCGTATTTTAAAGGTGGGCAATATTTGGATTTAAAAATAGAATGCGACATGTTTCTGTCAATTGTTTTTATTTTTGTAAAGTTCTAAAGGCGGCAATAAATTAGATTTAGAAAGAATACATGAGATATATCTGGCCTGGTCATTTTGGGTCTGACGTCATTGATTGTCATTTGTTTTTTTTCGCATTGTTCTAAAGGCGGCAATAATTTGGATTTAGAAAGAGAACAAGATATATTTCTGATATTGTCATTTTGTGTCTGACTGCATTGAGGTGTCATTTGTTTTATAAGTTGACTCGGCAACATAGTCACATTAACTATACATAGGTATACGCATTCGAGCAGTTTGTATGGAATATTAATTTTAGTATTTTCATTGCATCATCTTTATACACCGTAAAATCTATTTCGTTTAGTTTTACAAAGAAATAAAATGTTTAAAACCAAAAATAACTGGTGAACCGTTGCAAAAAGTAAATTTCGAAAGCGTATACGAACTCATAGTACATTATCAAAACATCCCGAGAAGTAATTCTCGAAAAGCATTTCTCGTCAGGTGCCACGTGCAATGCCAAAAGTGCCTACAAATTTACGTCTAGTATTTCATGTGCGTGCGTATTTCTAATACTGTTTCGTTTAGGCATCGCAGGGCGCTTGCGCGAATGTTCGTGTGTGTTTATATGTTTAATTGAATTTTTAAATAATGAATTTGGTATAGTGTAGCTATGTCAAATGATCGCCATCTTAGCACAACGAAATACAAAACTGCTATTGATGCGGTCTTTATTAGATATTTAAATAGGTTCGAATTAAAATTGTTCGTTTCTTACTTCAGCTATCATAAACTGATCGTATCAGTTTTAGAGATTGGCGATGATGGTTCTGGTAATAATGATAGTGAAAAAGTCGTCGAAATTATGGATGGAAGTTGATTTTTCTGAGGGATAAACTTTTTATAAATTGTCATGTTTGTGTACGATAGCGCAATAAATAAATATTGTATTCTACGACATAAAACAAAATAGGTACTTTTATTCTAATAATTAAAGCAATTCGTGCAAAATTATTCCATAACCATTCCAAAATATCCAAAACGCACAACGCGTTAATACTTAAGTTTTAGAGTGCAACCCGTCGTTTTTTTTTTACTTAAAAACTGACATTCATATTTTTTATTTTAACTTTATACACTGAAAGTCCTCTTTATGGCTCTTATTTAAGGTTTTCACGGTGTATTTTCTAACATTTCAAACTTTCTTGAACTGTTACAAATATTACAAGGCACAAATTAACAAATTGGTGCAGAGGCTTACGAGTTTTAGTAAGAATAACGAACAGGAATAAGATTACCACGACCATGTCTTTTTATTTTTTTTTATGGGTTATTAGGCAAACGAGTAGACGGATCACCTGATGGTAAGCGATCATCGCCGCCCATGGGCACCTGTAACACCAGAGGAGTCACACGTAATATTATTGGTGCCATGAAACTGAAAGATAACTGAAGATAGTATCAATCTATAGTCTATCTACTAGTAAACATAAATATAAAGTGTCAAACATTCGTACAATTAAAACATAATTTTGAATTTTTAATCTTTGAATTTATTAACAATTCTTATCCTTACACAATTCTAATATAAATATGGTTAATAAATTAAGTTTTATAGAATTATGTACACATGGCTACACATCGAGCTTTACATAACCAGTATAAACTGAACGTTAAATGTGCGAAAAGATGATGCGACGCGACACCAGGATAAACTGGTTTTGTATAGATTTATGTGTGGCTGTGTGTACCTACCATTTTTAATTACCAGTTAAATAAAAGGTGATTTCCAAATACTGTGACAGCATTCACTGATGCGGTATGAACTGAACATGTTCAAATGTATCGTATCGATTTCGCTCGCATGCGTTTAATCGAAGAAAACCACCTGGAAGTAAACATTCATAGCAATCATATACTAGGATTATCTCTTAAGTCGTTGGTGCGTTTACAAATAAATACATTTTAATGTTACATTCACATTACACCCAGACACGGTACAATTTTTGGATCACGCAAAGGATTTTTCGTCTAGAAGTAGGCAAATCCACAACAACGCGGTAACTGCAATTATGATCAACAAGGATGAGTTTTGATCAAACTACGTATTACTTATATTATAAATACTGCATGTTGCAGGTCCAAATCGATATTTTATAATATTTTTTATTTTTATTTTATAATATCGATATTATCACGATCAATATTATATCGATAGACTCAGTTCTTATAACATAAAGAATAGTTTAATAACAACAGTTATAAGACATTTACACATGTAAACGTACTGCAATCTGGTTAATTAAAAGAACTGACTGACTGAAGAATGCCTCGTTGGCCGAATGGTCACAAGTGCTGGGCAAGGGGTCCCGGGTTCGATTCCCGAGTCGGGCAAAGTATGACTGTTTTTTTTTTTAATCTCAGTACGGAATCTGGAATTTTGATCCTGTATATGGCAATAGGCTTAGCCACCCACTATTACATGGGACTCATAACATAAATAGTGAAAAGCGGGTGTTACATTGTACAGTGGCATAATGTGCACCTCTGTCTACCCCTTCGGGGACAAAAGGCGTGATGTTATGTTATGATGTTATTAAAAGAAGTCTAAGTTGAAAATGTTAAGTTGTATTTAGTAGAGCCACTGGCCACTGGCGTATATCTTAAGTCCCTTTTTTGATATTGGAAAATTATCGAATGACTTCTCTCGCCTGGGTGAAGCGAGAGGGAGTGTCAGACTCTTACTGACTAAAAACCAACCCGTTCCGGGTAACCGGGGCTCTCTGACACTCCCTTCCGCCTCACCCAGGCGGGAGCAGTAATTCGATGATTTTCCCCCCTTAAAAAAAAACTCCTGTACTTCGAGCCGGAGCCCCATATTATAAGCACCTATTTGTATTATAAATATGAAGTAAATACCTTGTACGTCATAATTCCCTCTCTTGTTGAAACAAGCCACAATATTGACGGGTCTCCAAACAACTAACGCTATCAATGCCGCAATTACTACTAAGACAGCAGGTATCAAAATAAACAAACCGCGTCGTTTTATCCTGAAACGTAAAATATCATAATTGCATAAAATACAATGACAAGTTAATATAGTAAAGTGTTACCTGTTACATTGGTCACACAACTAAGAAGTAAGAATTTATTACCAGTCAGCAGCTGATTCATTCTTGCAGCTGCACTCTTTGAAACATTTGATGACCTAACTGCGATTTCCATACCGATTGTCAATCGCAGGGGATATGACAATTCTCCTTCTTCAAGGGGATTAAAAAATCCCCCCAAAAACCTATTACTCTTTACTTGTTTAATGAACTAATCTTACAAATATTACATACGGAATATTATATACGGCACGGATATGAATTACTGTTTGTTGTCGTGGTAACAAATAAAGAGAAACAGGTTTTTGGGGGGATATTTTAATCCAGTAAGGAGAATAAATTAATAGCTTACCCTCAGAAATAAAAAATAATATTACATAAGTATTATTTAGGAATGTAAACACATTCATAAGTTGTTTATCCTAGGTTGTTTATATTGTTAGCGTCTTAACGTATATATTTGTAAATCCTCATTTTAGAGGTATAATAATTTGATTTTGAGATTCGTTCGTGATAACACAAGTTTAAACCTTAGTGGATTTTGGTTGCTATTTTAAATGGATAATCCTGTACTTATTGCAAATATGATAAATAAAAAAAAATTAAAGGCGGTCCTACTAAATCTTCAATTACAGCTACTCACCATGTATCTTTCATTGTAATATTAGTTTTATTGTCATTAGCTATATTCTCTGCATCAGGCACAGTAGTAACTGTTGATACAAAATCAACAGATGTTACGTTCCCAAAGTCATATCTTTTCTCAGTAGAATTTTGTACTCGTCCATTATCATCATCAGTTTCTTTATTAGAACTTGGACTGTCCACAAAATATGACACAGTAGTTTTTGTCGTCACGCCATAGATGTCTTTATAATTCTTTTCACTCGAATTTTTCTCTTGCATATTGACATTGTCATCAACGGTTCCGTCAGAAGAACTTTGACTATTAGGGATATATGACAGAGTAGTAGTTGTTGTTACTTTGTAAAAGCCACTAAGTTTATTATCAGTGGAATTTTCATCTATTTTATCAACATTTTCCTCAGTAGAACTTTGACTGTTCATAAAATATGACACAGTAGTGGTTGTCGTGGCGTTGTCCAGTTTACTATATCTATCATTAAACGATTTAATAAATCGAATCTTATAATTCGCATCATCAATTGGCGGCCTATATGGTTTGAAATAGGTGTTATTTGCCAACTGGTTATTCAAATGAATTTTCTGATTCCTTTTAGGTATTGTCTGAAAACCGATACAATTTATTTAAAAAACGCAACATTATTTTAGATTTAAAGTACTTGTTACATTGTTTACATTGTCCACCTCTGTCTCCTTCGAGACTATTATGTTCTATATTTGTATGTGAGGAATGTAGGCAATTATTTATGAAATATAATTAATTTGATCTTGTATAATTATGCATTGTTCTTTAGAATGCGGTCGGATTGCGCAACTAACAGGTAGCTTACTATTTGTTTAAGGTAAAAAATGTTTTCGAAGTCCAGATACTTACATTATCGTGTGCAAATCGTGTCCTGTCTAATTCTGATAGCATATATTCACGTCTATGCACGCCCATCCATCCATCCACATCAAACCTATAAATAGAAATTATATTTGATTATATTTTCACCACCATTTTTGGTGTGACTTTTGTTCTCTTTAAAAAAATTTTGGATAATGCAAATGAAAGAAATTTGCACAAACAACTATCTAGCTTTTCTATGGAATAGGAGGCAAACGAGCAGACGGATCACCATGGATACATGATGGTAAGCGATCAGCGCTGCCCATGGACACCCGCAACACCAGAGGAGTCACAGGTGCATTGTCGGCCTTTTAAATAGGTATACGCTCTTTTCTTGAAGGTTTGAAGGTAGGTTTAGAAATACCGCCGACGACAGATCATTCCACAGTTTTGCTGTGCGAGGCAGAAAGCTACGTACGAAGCGCACAGTTGTGGTCTGCCAACCATCTATATGGTGGGGATGCATATGCTGTCGTGAGGGTCAGCTAGAGGGTAACTAGACTTGACCTGCAAATCACTCTTGATAACATCCACCAAAACCACAATTGTCAAACCTGTAGGTACCGACTAAGTATTAGCATTCGATGTTTGTTACCTAACCTGAAATAGACAAGTATGGAGATTTTATGTAAGACACTGAACAAAGACCACTATTGAGATCAGGGGAGCAGGTACCAAATATTATGTTTACATCCTTTTTATTATAAAACTAACGTGCGACATTTTCTGAACTTTTAGTTAATTATAACAACAATAGCTTTACTTACATATCCGTTATCTTCTATCAATTTCGTATGGAATTCCTAGAAAGCCTCTAAGTACTCATCTATATTTTTCAACAACTCTTCATGTCTTACCTTTTAAACAGTACACATTCACTGGTAACGACAGTGTTTTATATTAAAAACATGAATTCACTCACCGGTTTTGTGTACCCTTAACTTGGGAATGAACGTGGGCAAATGAAAACACCACGAGAATTGTGCAAGGGACAATGTTAACTAACATTTTAAATTCACAATAATAAACCCGTAGTGACGTCTGATTAACTCCAAAAAATTTACAATGTGACAACTTCGTGATTAGTACCTAATGATGAGTTACAAACAGATATAAGTATTGTGAATACCTATATCCGTTTGTAACTCATCCTTTTTTGATAACTATAAATATCTATAAATAAAAATGAATCACCTAAATGTATATGTAAGCTTACCTACAACTTCCGAACTAGTCGATCAAACTGGAGAATTCTTTTTTATGTTGCATACTTGTCTCTATGAAAGGTTTTTACGAAAGAAAACTAGGACACATTAATCAGGAACATTGGGAAATAGTACCCAGACGAACCTGAGGCGGGCCTCTTGTTAAATATAAATAATCTATCTTCATAATATGAACATGTTATTCCCCGATAGAGGGCAAGAACTGGAACTCGAATATTGAAGTCAATTCCAAACTTTATGGGGTAGATGTCTTAGAGCTTACTTTTTTATTTCAATTGAACTTGGCCACACACCAGGATATGTTTCACCACGGATGGGGCCCAATAGGACTGATGCCGATACGGACCCGCGGAGGACTTAACGGGTTGCCTGGGTGCCGGCTCCGGAAGTGCAGGAAAAGAAACGAGGTGGTTTTTAGCCAGTAAGAGTCTGACACTCCCACCCGCATCACCCAGGCGGGAGCAGTCATTCGATGATTTTCCCCCCTTAAAGAAAACACCAGTTTCTGTGTCATGTTTTCGTATGTATAAACTACAAACATAATTTCACTTAACTAAGTCAGATAATTATGTAACTACATAATTATCACACCTAGATCTGGAACATCAAGTTAGAATTTGAGGTTCTGTCTCCAAAATCCCCAATCCTCAAATTCCCAAAAGGCTTGCAAAGCACTTGTAACTCTTCTGTTTTGCAGATGTACGGGGCGTCAATGGGCAGCGCCGATTGCTTGGCATCAGATGATCCGTTTGCTCTATTACCGGCTCGTTTTTTATACTATATAAAAAAATCGGTTCACACAGATAGTTGTTCCATGCGGGATCGACCCCACAGATCAATTTGTTGTGTTTTTGTCTTGGATTTTGTTCTACGTCTCGGATGCGATTCTAACCGATTTGAAGATCATCTAATGTGACGTTTCACATACTTTACTTCACCTATCAGTACATTGTTTTATAGTGGGTAACAATGGAGTACCTATTAGATTTGACTATTTGTTTCTAATTACAATCATAATTACTTTGAAAGATAATCTCACGCCAACGCTTATATTTTGTTCTCAACCTTTGAGTTTCTGCGTAACATATTTACAATAGAATATTCAAATATTTCTTCATTTTATTCATTACTTAGAAGGTTAATGTGTCCCAAAGTTTAACTTGGCAAAATCTAATAATGAGGTAAGTAGCTCAATTTTACATTTGTTTTCGCAGTACCATGATTACCGTAGAAGAAAATTGTTGGTGCGTGGAAAAAACGCACTTCTCCCTCTCTGTCTTCGATTTCGAGGATTAAATTACGTGACGTTATGTTATGTTGTAGAAAATGCTAACTGAAACATGATAAAGGAGTTCAAATAAGTAGTTACTTCATCTTTATACTTTCTTTTATTCAGACATTAGGTATTGTTATAAAAATTAAATTAAAAATAATACATAAGTTGCCAAATATAACTATAAAATACAACTTCAAAAGTGAAAGTAATGTAAACAATTATTAGATTATATTTATTATGTATACCTTAAATTAGGGAAACAAAATGTAAAAAATGATAATAATTCATTTGTCTTCAATTCAGATCAGATTCCGAAGACCAAGTCTTAAAAATTGAATACGTAGCAAGAATGTAAACATTCTGGCGAAATAACACTCATTGTCTCGAACAAGTTGGAGAAACACCAATAGAATAAAAAATATTGTTTTTGCCTCACTAGAGGGCTTTAGTTTCTGTTCTTGTTTAGTTTTAGGTTATTTTAATCCTATCTAGTAAATTAACACTAGTTAATTCTCTTTCATGCAATAGATCTTAGTGATCAAAAGCACCGCTGACCAGAAATTCTGGTATGTTTGCTCTTATTTTAACTTTATCTTATAATAATAAACAAGCTAATTGATAGTCTGCTTCTGGTATGACAGGATAGGTGACGTCAGCACACAAAGTAAGTTCAGTCATAAGAACTTCAAAACTCATTCATATGACATCCAAAAAAGGTATCTGCAAAGGAAATAAACACGCTGTTTAGTGGTATTTGAATATATTAGGCGCTGTCACGAAAAAGTGAATCTTAAAAAATAAACTTTGAAATATGTGTTTTATGTTTTTTTTTTATAATAAAAGTAGTAGTAGGAAGTATTTTAGGTGCCCGGCAGTAGGTATTACTTTTCTGATGAAAAATTGTTATTTTTGATATATGCTTGCTACCTCGTGTAGTGGCGTATGTAATATTCATCCTCGGATCCACTAGACAACGTGTTATCTGTCTGTCCACACGTGATTTAGCGTGCAACAATCATAGGTAACATGTTGCCAGAGAAACATTTATTTTGTATGTGTACCGTCACGACGATTCGCGACAATATTTGATGCACAACCGCATGTGGCTTCGCTATGCAAACATGCCGCTCGTCATACTGTGCACCAGCTGGCAAGCTGCCGAGCATGTCCGTGTAAGCGTCACGTGTTGCACAACAATTGTTGCCTATAAAATAGGAAGCAAAAGCAAAAAGATCTTAAAACAATTTTACCTGAATTTCTTTTAAAAGTTAATTCTTGCCTTGTCCGTCTGAAACTGAAATGTTGTATTTTCCACAATTATTTCTACCGATTATTATTGAAATTAAAACAGATACTCCATCTTGTTGATTTCTGAAAAGAAAAATAACATTTAAAATATCAATGTAGGTACCACTAAACAAGACAACGAGGACCGTTTTAAATCCCCAGATAATTGTTGTTTACCAACAATTATCTGGGGATTTAAAACGGTCCTTATTGTACCGTTAACTTTAGTTAACGGTACAATAAACTTGACATTTGACAGTTTTTAGTACGGAAGAATTGTTAAATATTAAAATATTCCTATAATATAATTAATCTGGCGTTGGAATAATCAAACTTTAATCGAATAATTTAATAATGTTGAAAATAAATTGTGAAATACTAATTCAAAAATAATATTTCCTAACAGTATAATATGATAATATCTAATAGTTACTCACTGCGACTTTCTTAAGAATTCTTCGTGTATAGTTTTAGATTTATTATAATTTTCAGCAAATGGTTCTATTGTTTTGTTTCTCTCAAGTATTGGGTACACAGAAGCGATAGAGGATAAATGTGTAGTAGAAGTAGACTCTGTTGTAGTTCTTGTTGTACCTGCTGATGTTTTGTTATTTGGCTCACTAAAGTTAGGAGGCTCCTTTGCTACGCATTTGTACGGAGCAATACAGATGCCCTCACAATCCTTACACACTGGCATACATTGTACACTAAAGTTGTCCACATAATCGGCTTTGTAACCTTCGAAGCATTTACAGACCTCTGGAGCTACACAAAGTCCTGGGCCACATAGAGTGGAACATATAGGTGAGCATACATTCGTTCCATTTTCATCTTTGTCTTCACGAAAGCCGTCCAGACAAAAACATGTCTCCGGAGCAGCACAAAACCCATCTGGACATCCATTGGAGCAGTAAGGTTCACAAGTATTATTGACCGCTGTGTAGCCAGGGAAACAATCACTTGTATTACTTTTGGGTGTACATTCACCTTTCGCATTTACTTCATATCCTAAGTCACATCGGCAAGTACCCGGTGCGATACAAGTGCCGTATGAGCAACGGTCACATACGGGCACACAAGTGCCGTTTTGTTCTGCATAGCCAGAATAGCATACACAGTTGCCAGACAAATCACATTGTCCATTGATACATTGCTTGTTGCAGGCACGTTTACTGAAATTTAAATTTGTTATACAACTATAATTTTTTAATGAATGAAACATATTATTAATAGTTATTTTTTTTAAATGCAATCAAGGCTTTTATATAAATTATACAAAAATGTCCAATTCTTTACCGTATACGTATACGCAAGAGAAAATCGGCCTTCCAGGTACTGTCACAAGGGTCTAATATTTCGCGTGCTCTCTGCAAACATGTGAAAAGTGTAACATAACACAATATCATGCCAATATTCCTTGACAATAGTCACGCTTGCTGCCATTTCATTTAATAAATAATTTGTACATACATAAGCCATTTTAGTTATCGTCTTTATCTTTATGTGCGAACGTATAATCCCATTTTCGTAAGTCACATAGCTGTAAGAAATCTTATCTGTCGTCAAGTATGTCTCCCTAAAACCAAAATACATTATATAATTAGCAAATAAACTTTACCCTGACTTTTATAGTACATAGGTTTAACTTATAAGTATGACTGCACGACTGGCGTAGGAGGGGTTGGATTGACTCTTGTGTTAAGTATAGCAGAATTGATTCTTGCACGGAACAACTTTTATCTAATCATCAAATAATAATTCATTATTTATTGTATTTTTTACTGATTTTCGACATATGGATTGTCCGTTAAAAGAACACCAAATAGCACATAATTATCCTAAGAATATACCCGATCTAAAATAAGAGCCACGTCCCGAAAATTAGGTGTGACATCCAATATCAAACTCTCGTAATAAAACACTTAAAATGTCGATGTGTGTTTAAAAGAAATAATGAACCTAATGAACACTTACGGTCTTGTCTTTTTACAGAGCTCTGACTGCACGGCAACAATCAGAAAAACTGCTGTACCACAGAATATAAGAGCTAAACAATTCTGTAACATTTTCAACGTTCAATGGACTAACTGTAGCAGTTACAAATAATCAACTGAATTATTTAGTGAACATAATACAAAATAACGACTAGTTTTGATATATTTCTGCGGAGATAACACATTTATCTAACATCCTGGCGGATATTAATCTCGGGATTTGAGTCACTATAAGTCGAGTTTAATTTAAACATTTTAGGTAAAACCGCCTTTACAAAAAAAAAATTGAACCCTTTCTGCTTTTTTGTAACTTTGACTTACATTCCACCGATATTGTTATTTATTAACTGACCTCCCACAGAAGAGGAGGTTATCAATTCGGCTGTGTTGTTTTTTTCTGTGTATGTTACCCGATTTCTCCGGCGTTTGTCGACGGACTTTGATGATTCTTTTTTTGTTGAAAAGGTAATATTCTCGGAGTGGTCCCATTTCCAGTAGGCTAAAATCTGATGATGGAATCCTATGGAAACCGAAGGAAACTTTTCAAAATGTGCGACGAGAGCGGTTGTTAATATTTTATATAGGTATATTTGAAACTACTACAATTTGTTGATCTGATGCTATCATCAGATCCTTCCTGTCTCTTGAATTCCTCTACGATTTGCTGCAATGATCCCGTGATTGAACTTAAATTATTTATATTGAGGAGATCTTTACATCTTGATGGGGTGTGGTAGTCATTAGGGGCCTGATGATAAAGTAGTATGATAGTTAAGGAAACTCCTCAACAGTTAACAGTAGCTATCTGGTGTTTCATCAATAACAGCCTGTTGTCGTCCACAGGTCTTTTTTCGCCTCTCACAATGTGTAATTGTGGCATTTATGCAACATCTTGTGTATTGTAATTTCAAAATTAACCAAGTATTGTATGATGTCTGCTAGACATCAACAAACCTGTAATTGGCTTTCTGGTGTTATTATGTTATCTGTTTGTTTGCTATGTGTAGCTGTTGGTTTTCCAATCCATAAATAAATAAATAAATAAATAGACTGCGTAGTTGGTGCGGTGGCTAGGTAACTGGCTGCCACGCAACGTTTTGCGAGTTCGATTCCCGCATGGAACAACTTATGATGCCTACTACACCGGCCGCGCTAACATTTTTCGCGAAAACGTCATAGAGAGCCGAAACAGACTCGTACCTAAAATAGAGACCTCTTTAGGGAGAATCTCTGATTGGGTGGACTCAATTTGGTCCAGTTTAACCCCACTAAGACACAGGTCTGCGTTTTTACCGCTAAGAAACTGCCATTGGTCGTCTCCCCTCAGTTTCAAAGCACCCCACTAACTGCCTCAGCCGGTATTGGAATACGGTGTCAGCATTTTAAGCGACGTCCAGTTTCGCGGTCATTATGGTCATGGCGGTCACCGCCTGCTTCTATATAATCTGGGATCTGCCCCACATCTATTCTCATCTTTTGGCGGGGGCACCCTGGAGCCAGTTTCTTCCTCTGGACGGCGTTCAGCGGCGTGCCGTTCGGATTGTTGGATGTTTAGGGTGTTTAAAACCGGCTAGACACTTTGTCAATGCGTAGAGATGTAGCTTCGTTGTGCACTTTTTATCACTTATACCACGGGGAGTGCTCTGAGGAATTGTTTGACCTGATACCTGCCGCATGTTTTCGTCATCGACCTTCACGAGCATATGCATCTCCCTCTTATAGATGGTTGGCAGGCCACAACTGCGCCCTTCTTACGTAGGTTTCTGCCTCGCACAGTAAAACTGTGGAATGATCTGTCGATGTGAAACAACGCTTGTGTTGTGTTTCTTCATGTGAGTGAAGTTATCGGAGGCCCAAATTCAATAAGCCCTCCCCTATCTCCCTAATCCCCAAAAGGCCAATAACGCACTTGGGACACCTCTGGTGTTTCGAGTGTTCATGGGCGGCGGCGATTGCTTACCATCAGATGATCCGTCTGTTAAACTAATGTCTAGTATTGTAACTGAGTGGTTATTGCTTCATCATCATCAGTTACTGTAATTGGATTTTACCATTGAGAATGTTTAAAAATAAATAAAATAAAACAAAAAATTAATTGCATAACGCGTGGTGAGTTCTATTTCCAAATTGCTTCAATTTATTTTTTTCATAATAAAGCATGCAATTCCAAATTAAACATTTTATTTTATAAATGACATCAAATCTCGTACATAAGGTACCTATTGTTTGTTCATCGCTTGGAATTTTTCTGGTTATCCTCAGCCTCCCAGTTTCCATGGCAACGGAAAATCAAATGACGAGTTCTCTGAAAAATAAAATAACAAAAATCTGTAAGTCTTTTAAAAACGACCGATCAGTTATTCAACCAATGAGACGCATTCATGTACCTAACTGTTTAGTATTTAATCTACAGTGGGCAGCTGATCATCCCACTCCAATCTGTCATATTCATTCAATTGAATTTCGACTTCATGTCAATACAATAAAGTTGAAGATGTAATAGAGAAAACAGAAAAGGATAGTTTGACCTGCTGGCCACCGTATAACTCTGTACATACCATAGCAACTCTAGTTATCACTTTCAGCTGCCTATGCGACTGTAAACCGTCAACTCCTTTTGTGACGTAACTATAAGTTATATGATCTGTCACCAAATATGATTCCCTGAAACCAAAAAAAAATATAAAATTCAATATATAGCTACTTACCAAGTTTAACATTATGTGGACATACATAAATAATATCAAATTACGCCTGCACCATAAATTCTCGCTTGTCAATATCCATATTCACTTTTTTTTAATCTTTATTTAATTACAGGGTTTTATCTTAGAAGAAAACGTCACCCATGTTCACTTTTATAAGTGCTAAAGTGTCTGTTTGTTTGTCTATCTTTCACGGCAAAACGGAGCGTCGAAGAGACGTAATTTTTGAAGTGGAGACAGATGGAGAGATTAGGAGTAATACAAGCTTAAAAACATACCACTATGATCAATATAAGCCGAGCAGCAGGTGTAACCGTTCGAAGTGGCTAGTACCTAATAAGTATGCCTAATCAATGTTAGATAACAACCGGAACAAAACCGTGAAAGATGCGTGAAGTGCTATTTAAAACATCACTGAGTTTCTGGCTCCAGAATACTCACACCTATTTTTTTAAATCCTTCGGTACTATACTTTTTGGTCGATCCGAAGCCTAGAACTCTAAACCCATTGCGTTACAAAGCAGGTGACTACGTAAATAATGCAACAGCTGAGCTTCAAAAAGACACAAAATTTAATAAACTACCTACGTTTAAAAAAGCCGCAACAATTACAGACTACAAGACAATCGGCGAAGCGTCACCGATTCATGGTAGAAGTCCCACGTACGAAGTGCTTCGCATCAAACATCCTTGTGCTTGTGCGTACTGCTAAGGAGTTGAATATTTTGCCAGAGCCAGTATTTTCTGAAGGATACCCTGGTTGTCTTCAAGGACAAAATGAATAGTTTTCTTATGGGTGAACGTGCTCCATCGTAGACCACATCATCGCTTACCACTAGGCGAGATAGTGGTCGACGTCAGCCCATTAAATATAAAAAGACCCGTCCTTTTTGCAGTCAGTCAATGAATACACTAAAACCTTCTCCAAAGTGTAACAAACACTTTTTGAAAACCGTAACAAAATCGGCTCAGTCAATCGAGATAATCGCACACAAACATACAAAGAGGTCAAACTGCGAACCTCCTTTTTTATGAAGTCGGTTAAGAAAATAATACTTACGGTATGGACTCGCTGCACATCCTTGATTGTCCCTCAACTATCAGAACAACTGTTAGACAGAGTATGAGAGTCAATGGATTTTTAAACATTTTTAATGTCTTTATCGACTAACGTTGACAGTCACTAATAGTAAACTGAATTGTTTTGGTAAAATAGTACAAAATAACAGATAGCATACAAATCTGTTTGTGGACAGATAACACAATATTATCTGACCTCCCAGCGGATGTAAAACCATAGATTTGAGCCAACAAAATAGTTTGGTTTTGGGGTCCTGTGTCGATGTAACGGAATATCTTTAATACCACGGCCTCACACAAAACCGACGTGAAGTAACGCTTGCGTTGTGTTTCGTCGTGTGAGTGAGGTTACCAGAGACCCAATTACCCTCCCCTTCCCCAATCTCACCAATCCCTGAATCCCTAACGATCCTCAAACTTCTAATCCCCAAAAGGCCGGTAACGCACTTTTAACGCCTCTGGTGTTCTAGGTGTCCATGGGCGACGCCGATTGCTTACCGTGGTGATCTGCCTGCTCGTTTACATGCCATAAAAAAAATATCGTTAGTAGTGTACCGAAGTTCATTCTTTAGTCTTTCACAAATATTAACTTATATGAAACTGGCCGTAAGCGCGACCTTGTCCGCGTTGAAAAAGTAATCTAAGCCACTCTTTAGTACAAAAGCCACCTGCCAAGGAAAGTTCCGTCAAAATCGGTACAGCCATTTCAGAGATTAGCCACTTCAGATAGATATACAGACTGACAAAAATTAATAAAAATGTTGTTTTGTTATATATATCGTATGCAGGTAATAAAAAGCGGTTATTTTAATATTATAAGCATACACTCCAATTTTTTATATATATGTGTAGATGTATAGGGTCACAGTCATAAACTCTACTGTTAGTATCTTACTTACTGTGTGAATAAGATATAATAACCTTCTGGCTCTTCTTATACAGTAACAACGTTAACTGTGTTATTGCTCAAAATTAGTTTTCTTAATATAATTTTTTTTTACAAGGATTGTTGGACGCCCTTAAAAGTTATTTTTCTATGGTTGGTCGCATACTGAATTTAACTAGAAACAACCAAGAACCACGAGAGCTTGCGAAATCTCATCAAAACCTCCTTGGGTCACTAAGTCCACCAGGTACCTAAGTTCGGGTCACCTGTTGCATGAACTTACAACTGGCGACGATACCCAAAGTATGAGCGATCGTGCACCCCTGCTTACCCCTTTGGAGAATGAAAAAAACCGAACCCTTTATATGTGAGTCAGACTTACACTTACCCAATATTAACTA